GATCGCTTTAGATGATTTCTTCTGCCTGTTACATACATGCTCAACAAACCATTATGCCCCCTCTGTGCCCACATTCCATGGTTACAGGGTATTCGAAAATCTCTGTTAACTTTGTACTTTCATTTGGCAAACGTGTATTTGCTTTTTGTGTTTGTGTTCAGAGATGTTCCTGGAAAATGTGTGGAAAAGCCAAAGGCAGACAATGGGCCTGCTTGACGTGCAGAGCAGCGTGGTTCATTAACTTGGCCTCAGTCAACGAAGCAGCTAAAGGCTTAATTATAATTTTAATTGGCTCTGTTGCAGCAGAAGCTCAAGCTCCAATTGGCGAGCCGTCCAAGAGTTTCGGCAGCCCAACCGGAAATACCGTTTGATCAATCGCTGTCGAAGGCCCCCTCATAAAATAGGTATCTAGTATCTTAAAGTATACGTAAGTATATGGAGCTCACTTGATCACTTGATCATGATCATGATCATGATCAGCGCTTGATTTTTATACGTTTTGTAGCTTCTGACCGAAATACCATTGAAAGCAAAAGAAGAAAGTTGAACAATGGCTTTGTGGCACTGTGGCATGCCGTTTAGAATTTGCCCGCTCTTCATGATTATTAACTTAATTTAGTTAGAGCTGGCCTTTTATTTCACTTGATTTCATTAACAGCGTCGTTTAAAGTTTCAATAAAAAAAAAGGCACAACCACGCGGAGAGCGCTTTACAAAAATTTCACTTTAAAGAATGCACTGAAGCAAACGCTCCGCATCCGGCCAGGGTCCGGTCCAGGGCAATTTTAAGCGGTCTGCAAAAGGTTGAAACCTGCCCCCAACCAACCTGCCCCCTCGCCACAGCCGGCCCCCTGGGGCCGCATATGCTGCATTATTTATGATGCAAAGTGGGGCGCAGCATCAAGGGCGTTGCTGCAGCAATTGCGTGAAAGTCGCGGAAGCTGTCAAAGCCGCAAGTTTCGACGTTATCCTCCAGTTAAGAAAAATTGGCCAAAACAGAATAACAAAAACGAAAAAAGGTACAGAAAAAGCGAAAGGGCTGGGCACACGTGCGCCACGGCTAAGATCGGGCCATAAAACTGCAATTTTGGCAAGTTTCTCAAGCCTCGCAGAAACCCTTTCTCTTTCGAAGAAAGCGCTTTTTTTGGTCGGGTGTACACCCGGTTGCGGCCCGTGTGAATTGCCAAAAAGAGCTTTACAAGTAAGAAAGAAGTAAATTCAGCGAGTAAGTGCAGTCGTGTTTGCCGAAAAAAAAAACCCAAAAAAAAAATAAACCGAAACAGTTTTTCACAAATTATATAACCCAGCTCTGGAGAGTTTTGCTTTCCTCGGCATTGTTGCGCCATCATTTGTTTACACTTGGCCATCAATTATTCAATCTTATGCGCACTGACTAACCCCACGCTGACTTACATAAATAGAAAAAAAAATAGAAAAAATAAATAAAAACAAAAACACTTAACTGATAAATTATTGAATAAATGCTGCAATCAAAATTGTCGCCGTGAGTTGCCGCTTAACGCTCTTGTCTTCAGCCTCAGTTGATAGCCGTAAATGTTGATTATGACCGTTGTATTAGATAATACTTAAATGCGTATCTCTATCTATAACTGTGCTCGTATCTGCCGTATCTGTATCTGTAGCTGCGACTCTTCTGGCTGCATATTGGTTAGGCCACACGGCTGCGGCATCAGCTCATTTATGGAAAGTGAAAGTGTTGCCCAGATTTGTATTCGTGCATTTTTAATTTGTATCTTAAAGTCGCCGTGTCGCGTTGCCAGGCGTTGCTCAAATGTTGAAATATTTATGCTAATAGCTGTGGCAGCTCCGGTGACCAAACGATTACAAAAGCAACTGCTAATTTCTTGCGTGGAATGCCCCCACACATTGTCTCTCTGTGAGCCTGACCTCTCTGCTGCCTGTGTGGCATTGGCCCGGGCTGAAAGCGCAAGCAAGCCTTTGAGCAAATAAAATGATCAAAAGTGCAAGTAAGAGTGAGTGTGCACTTTGATTTGCACTCCCAAATGTCTCATCTTTACATCTTAACTCTACTTATATAGATACTTTTGAGTGCGTATTTATCAGGTGCACAACTATTTGGCCCCATCAATTCAGCTAAACTCAGCATTTGTTTACCTTAGATATTTATCTTAACCCATTTAAATCAGCGTTCAGATCTTGGCATCGACTGCGGCAACTTTCAGAATTCACACCATGCTGCAAAAATAGAACATTATCAAATGCCATCTGCAGCTCTGGCTAGTTAAGAGACTTATGCTGAGGTGGGAGAAATCTTTAATTTAATCGTGCTTAAATTGGTGGACTTTTAACAGTTTATTTTCCCTATATAGCTTGTCAATGACAATTTAAATGTTTAATATAAATAAAAAAAAAAAAAAATTAATTTTATATTTATGCAATATATTGCGAACTCAAACAAACTATGCTGACAAAGATAGGGAAAAAAAATGCAAAAAAATATATAAAAAAATTCCTAATTTTGTTTATTTATCTAGTCTAAGATTTATTTTGAATTTATTTGACGCTCATTTGCAGAGCCTTAAGAGTTCGTTGCCACTTGCCGCTGTAGTCCCCTAGGGAAATGCCGCCCACTTAGGTAGACGGACATAGGTTCGAAATTAAGCAATTAAGTGGCAGTCGGCAATTGCAGTTTGTTTAGCGTTTTCACTGTGGACACTGTGAACTGCAGTGGCATCAACTGCAGCATTGACATGGCCGGCAAACTGCGGCGGCAGCAAGAGCTGTTATTGTTGTTGTTAGGCTGAACACCCACTGCGAGTGCTTGGGCCAACTCATGCACGCTCATACACACACATGCACTCGCTCAATCAGTCAGTCAGTCAGTCAATCATTCATTCATTTATTCATTCATGCAACTTTGTTAGCTTACATTTTCAAGTTGCAAAGTTGCACGCGTTGCGCGTCGTCGTTTCGGTCACAAGGCGGTGAATGTTGTCTACGAAAAAGGAAAATTAACGTTGAACTTTCTTTTTTGCTGCAGCAGCAACAACAGCAACAACAACAACAACAACAACAACCACAACAATAATATAAATAAAATATGTACTCGGCTTGTTGTTGCTGCGGCTTTTTTATACATATATATATATATATATATAAGTATATTCACATTTGGCTTTTATGGTCGCACAGTTAAAACTCGTTGAACTGTTATGAATTTTACTTTTGGTTTTCAAAAGCAAAACCAAATAAACCTGTTGCTGCAACAATAGAACAAGAAGCCAGCTCGAAAACCCGCCGATTCGCTGCACTCAACAAAATCTCGTACTGGAGCCGCGGCCCAATGCAGTGAAAGTGTCATTTCTCATCTTTTCTGCACAATCAAATGTGAAGAGAAATAATAAAAAGGAGAAAAATACCAAAAGTTAATTAAATGTCAAATAATTCAGCATTCAACAGCGTCCGATGGCCCCACCACAGATTTACATCCCTACTGCAGCTGCGCTCACGCAATGCGTGCCGATTGCCCTGCCCCTGCCGGCCTCCGACGCTCCTCCCCATGCCCCTACCCTTGCCACTGTCCAGGCAGTGGCTGCATATGAAATTCGCTTTCACTGTTGAAAGATGCTGCTCCGCTGGCTGATCTGGAAAAGCGCTTTTCACACCATTTGGCGGGCTTTTGTTTGTCGGCGCCCAATTCATAGGCGCATTTTCATTGCATTTTCATTGCGTTTTCATCCAGCATTTTCACACATTCATAATACTTTAATTAAGCATATAATCAACACTTTCGCATCCTGGGCCCGGCCCGATGCAGCTTATCAACTCTCTTTTTCCTTGATGACTTTCATTTATGCAGCTCGCTCGCTTGCTCCTGCTACCAACCCACCCCTCATCCCGCAAACCCCTTGCCCCACCCCTCTTTCAACTTGACTATTTGCGCACTTTTACTTGTCGCTTGCCATTGGCATTTGGTTATTGGCCGCCGGCTACTGGTCGACATGTTTGCCCAGCGCTCTTTCGGCACACTTTGGCTGCGAGTCAATAACTCGGCGGGCAGCAACCACCAGCTGTTTATTTTGGCCACTCTTGGTATTTGACAACGCATAAAATATGCACATAAATTAATGCAGCAGTGCGTCAAGGGGGGTAGGGGTCAAGAAAAAAGGCGGACAACGGTTAGCTGCATGCCACAGAGAAGTGTCGCAACTTTCCCTTTTGAATGGCTGGCGATCGAGGTTATGATTATTCGTATAGCATATGGCTTATTCTTTATGGCCGATTGTTTATTGGCCTGGCCCACATCTTCAGCTCGTTAGCTGTCTTTTATGTAACACAAATTCTAATGGGCACACACGAACATGACGCGCACAGACGTGCCGTGGCAAGTGAGCCAGTGAATGGGGCACAGTGAACGGGGAAGAGTGAACCTGTGACCGGTCAACGGTGAACAGCAACTGTTAGCAGCACCTGCCTGCTGTTGCACCTGCCGTGGTGCTGTCACGCGGCTCTGATTGATATTTTAGAAGGCGCATTGCGAAACGCGAAAGGGAAATGCCTCTTACCCTGAGAGGGTGGGGGGGATTTCAGTTTCAATTTAAAAACAATTAAGATTACGATTTTCGGGCTTCTTTTTGATATTTTTTGGGTAAAAGTCAGCAGCCAGCCCGAATGCTGTTTCCCACAGTGCAACAGACTCTCCAGACTCTAGATGCCGCCCCAGGCCGCAGCCGCAGCTGATTTTGACAATGTTACATGAACTTCAAGCGAAAGCAGCGCAGTGCGAGCAGGCTTACAAATTACAGTAACAATGCTTTTCCAACCAGCCAACATCGAGCCGACGTCGACGACGACGACGGCAACGTTACCGTTGGCTGGCAAAACGAAAGACTTAAGCGAGAAACTTGCGCGACCAGTTCTTGGCCGAGCTGAAATGCTTTCGTTCGTCGGCCGCGGCAGAGAGAGAGACAGAGATGTGAGCATACGCCACCTATATAAATTGTGCTGGCCACTGGGAAATTGTATCATTTCATCCTAACCCATCAAAGCAGCAACACAGCAGCCAGCAGCGTTGTGTGGCATAGTGCAAGACTCAAAGTTGAAAAGAGAAAGTGCGTTTTGTCGATTTGTGTGCGGTACAAAAGCCGAAAGTGTGCACAACCCTCAAAAGGACTATACAACAAGAACAACAACAACACAAACAAGTGAAAACAAAAATAAAAAAAAAAAAAAACAATAACAATAAGAAATATGGCAAACAATAAAGTTATTTTCGGTGTCTTGTGTTTGGTGACGCTGTCCGCTGCGCTCCCGGCTGAGGAAACGCGCGGCCATGCCCGCAACGCCATCGGCGGCGACAATGACATTATGGATAGCATCTATAGCGATTGCCTGCGCAAGGATTCCGTCTCGTGCGTCAAATACAAGCTGTTCAACTTTGTCGACAAGGTGCTCGGCGCACGCGATCAGTATGCTCTCACCGAGGGCGTCACTGTTGTCCGTTCGCCAGATGCGCCCGTTCAGGAGGCAGCCCGCTCCATTTCTGGTGATGAGTCGTTCGAGTCGCTGGCACTGAATCGCATCAGCAGCTTCCTCAACACGCACAACATCAAGGTCGAACTAAAGGGTGCCGATATTGTGCAGGCGGTGAGCTCCACTGGACGCGCCTTGGAGGATGCCTCGGAGTCGCTATTCGGCAGCAATGATCCCAATGCGCCCGAGGAGAGCCGTGGCAAGAAGAAGAAGGCCGCCAAAATCTTGGGCCCCATTCTGGCTTTGGTCGCACTGAAGGCCGCCGCTCTGCTGCCCCTGCTGCTGGGCGCCATCGCTCTGATTGCCGGCAAGGCTCTGCTCATTGGTAAGATCGCCCTGGTGCTGTCGGCCGTGATTGGCCTGAAGAAGCTGCTGTCTCAGGAGAAGCATGTCACCTACGAAGTGGTCGCCCATCCCCATCACAGCAGCAGTCACTCGGTCAGCCATGGCGACTCATATGGCAGCGGCTATAGCGCCGATGCGGGCGCCTCCTCGGCCTCGTACGGCAGCAGCGGACACGGCGGCTGGGGACGCTCCATCGATGCCCAGGATCTGGCCTATGGTGCCCAGAAACCCCAGGCCTAAGTGAAGCCACAGTCAGCAACCACAAGAACCACATGAACCACATGAACCACACGAACCACAACCACAATCACTGACTCGAGCCGCAACGCTCGCACACGACAGACTCTTGATGAGGAACACATATTATTTATTGTTCGTTTTAATTAATTTATTAATATAATTTATTTTATTTATTTTTCCACACGAAAAAGCGCAAAGCAACGCACACAAAAACGGAAACTAAACAAAAAAAAAAAAAAAAAAAAACAACAAACAAAAAACAGATGATTTAAAACATTGTTAAAGGACATTGTAGCGAAAAGAGAAGAAGCAGAAGATGAGCCCAGAGCCACGATCAGGCTGGCTGAGTGTGCGTGCATTTAGCTGCTTGACATACATACATACCATACATACCATACACAGATACACATTTGTATCTTATAAAGCCTAAAGTTAAGTTTGTAAAAAAAAGCACAAAGCGAGAGTTAAAGTCGGTACCTTATGCAAAACGTTTCAAAATACTCATAAGCCCAGGCGGCGACTCTGTGTAGCGTTCAGCCTTAGGTCTAAGCTCGCACCAGGAACTCACTTACACACACGCACACACACTTGCACACACATCTATCTAACTATCTCACTCTCTCTCTCTCTCTCATTCTCTCTCTCTCTCTCTATCTGCATCTGTCACTTGCTGTCGCACAGTCTCTGAGTCATAGCTCGTTCACGTTATCTCCCTGTCCATCCTATCGCTATTTACACTATCCATCTAGAGACTATACCAAAACTTTGCTGGTTGCCATGCAACTGTCTAACCTACTGTACACACTACTCTACAGCAATACTCTACTCTTTATACTCTACTGTCTACTGTACTCTACTCAACTATTCTGTACTCTTTACATGCAATTCTAGTCTTATATTACAACAGAAAAAGAAAACTACAGCAACTAGCTTTAACTCAACAAACTAGCTCTTATCAATACTATCAGTATCTTTATCTAATTTCTATCCCATCTATGCTATCTATCTCTTTCGAGTCATAGTTTTGGTCATTATATACGCCATAACTTGCCATAGTTTTTCCTGCGCACAAAACTGAACTCATTGTTGAAAACTCTTCCAATTTCCACTCAAATTCTTAAGACTTTCTCATTTCTTTTGCACCTTCAGCTGCATTTCTCTCCCTCTCTCGATCTCTTTATATCTCTTTCTCTCGCTCTTTCATTCTCTCTATCTCTTTCTGTCTTACTCTACATCTCTTTCTATCTGTCACGCTCTCATCATAATTTCTATGCTGCCCTCTGCCATGGTCAGCTTCTGTCAATTTCTAACGCTCTAATTTCCCAGCACACGCACGTACGTTCTCTTTAACCATAGTTCACTGTAGGCATTATATTATTTTGTTTTTGTTTTGTTACACAACTTCCATATTGTACTCTATGTTTATCGGGCGACTTGGGCCTGGTTTGCCCAGCTGCCAGTGTCCGCTTTTTGCATTGTGCTTTAAACTTATTTTTAATCGGTTTTTTTTAAAAATATTTGTTTAAATCATTTTGAAAGCGCGCTGGCCGCAAACGCCAAGTCGCCAGCTGATTGTCAACTTTTAATTTAAATGCACATATAAATATATATGTATATGTAAGCAGAATCGTGCGGCACTTTCACATTAAGAACCACGGCGAGAGGCATAGAAACTGCAGAATTGGGCAATTCACAGTAGGAAGAAGCAGAAGAAACATAAATCACATATCACAAATATCACACACAAAGAATGTAAAAATCTCTTACAAAACAACATCTTTTCTCTGTCATAAATGCATGTCATTAATATATGAAGAAAAACAATAAGTACAAAAAAATACACAAAAAAAAAAGAAAGAAATAGTAAACAACATGAAAATAAAACAAGCAAGGAATAAATAAAAAATCAATGAAAAATCCAACTATGAGTTTACAAACACACACACATACGTACACACACACACAGGTATTCTTTATGGCCAGCCGGTGAAAGCGAAATGTTCGAGTAAAGAACTGAATAAAATTTTGCCTGATGCCCGCGAGTTATGGTTATGCATAATGCCCCGACAGAGGAGATCAGCTCTTGGCGGCCCGTTGACAGGCCCATCTTTGGCAAGAATGTCGAAAGAGAGGAGTGTGCTTTCATTTCAAGTGAAATTGATTTGCGACCCAGTTGGCTAAGCGAATTTTAAACACTCTGCCGTTAAGTGGTGTAAATAATTATGACTCTGGCCAAGTCAAGACAACACAAGCCACGACAAGACAAGACCAAGCAACAGCAACAAAAATTTGTCCGAAAGTGTGCCCCGCCGGCTACCGTTGCGGCCAAAACTGATGCCAACAGACAGTGAAAGTAAACAGTTAGGAAAAAACAACAACGACATCAACAAAAACAACGACAACGGCAAACAGTAAATGCATTGAAAACGTGTCGTGAAAAGCTGTAGAAATGCCAGCTTATGGCCATGGTCAAAACGTATTTGGGTAAACGTATGAGCGGCATGATGTCAAGAGAGGGGCCCCCCTATGCGGCAATGTGGCAGAGTTGACTACTTTTAACAACTCTTAGAAAAACAGTGCCCATTGCTGAAGATACACAAAAATCAGGTAAGTATTTTCGACTAGGATATACCCAGTCTTCCATTACAAACATTTGAACATGTCTCTTTAGATATAAACAGAACGTCAGACAGATATACCACAGCTGTGCTACTTCTTTCCTGGATCCCACACTAGGTTAACTTGGCTTTATCGTCAGATGCTTATGATTAACTTTAACTTTAAAATTAAGATTCTTCCAACTAGCTAGGCACCAGAAGAAGCTATTCAAAAAGTGAAAAATTGTAAATCTACATATTCTTGGAGGCATCCTTCAAAACCTCCAGCAGTCCATTGCAGCACTGAATGCCGCAGTTGCAACCATTCTGGTTAGCATTAAAGAGCTAAAGGATGCGCAAGGTTCCCCGCAGCTTAGATTCCCAAAAAGCCGCAAATAATGGCTACCCAGTTACGTCTCGGATCGTGGAACGCTCGTGGCATCCTCCAAAATGCTAACGAGCTCAAGCTTTTTCTGAAAAAGCATGATGTAGACATCATGCTCATCTCAGAAACACATCTGCACACAAACTTGTACCTAACAATGGAGGGGTACGTCTGCTACCGTGCGGATCACCCTACAGGACGAGCCAGAGGTGGTGCTGTAGTGCTGGCAAAGCAGGATTTAGCACACTACCATCTACACACAGTGACCTCCAGCGACACACAGCTGGCTGCTATCATGGTGGAGACTCCCTTGGGCGAAATCCTCGTTGCGGCAGCATACCTACCACCAAACATCCCCTGGAACCGAGCGGAATTTGATTCCCTGTTTGGCCAGCTTGGCCCCAAATTCATCGTTGGAGGCGACTTCAACGCTAAGCACAGACTGTGGGGAAACTACAGAGCTGACAGCAGAGGCACTGCGCTCCATGAGGCGCTCACTCCCTGCTCAGCCCAGGTACTGGCCACCGGTAGACCTACCCACTTTCCGTACAACCGGCAAAGTACGCCTTCCTGTATCGACTTTTTTATATTCAAGGGCATCCCCAACAGCGTACTATCGGTTCGCGAAGAGTATGATCTATCTTCCGACCATCTGCCACTCCTCACAACGATCAACACGGCTGCACAAAGGATCCCAAAAAAGCGCAGGCTTGTCCTCCCTGGGTCGAACATCCAACGATTTAAGGCCGAACTAAATAGCTTGATCAACCTAAACACGCAGATTCTGTCAGTTGAGGACGTCGACGCTGCAGTACAAACCCTGTTGGACCAAGTACATGCCGCAGCCGCCAACGCTGCGCCCGCACATATCTACTCAGCCCCTACAAGCCAGCGGCCAAGGACGTTTTCCCCCATATTGGAAGGTCTTCTCGCCCTAAAAAAGCGACTGAGGAGGGAGTATGTCCGTACCCAGGACCCCACGATTGACAGGATCTATCGTCGTATTGCTAACAGGGTCAGGAAGGAGCTGATTATCTCGAAAAGAAATGCCACAGACACCATGCTGGAGGAAGCAACGGCAGACGAGAGCTCCAAATTCGCGCTGTGGAAACTTAGCAGTCGATACAAGCGGCAAGCTGCGCCAAAGTTCCCCGTTCGACTTCCCGATGACACCTGGGCCAGATCACCAATGGACAGAGCCGAAGCCTTTGCCTGCAACTTGGAGGAGCGCTTCAAGCCGTTTGAGACCGCATCGCATGCAAGGATACAGCGAGTCGCGCAAATCCTGGAGGCGCCACTCCAAATGTCACTCCCTGTATCGCCAATCACCTTCCAAGAAGTAGAGCAGGAGATGAAGAGATTAAAAAGCAGCAAAGCCCCTGGGGAAGATCGGTTGGACAACCAGACAATCAAGCTACTGCCATACAAGGCGGTGCTTTTTCTCGTCGCCATTTTTAATGCAGCTCTTCGGCTAGGTTACTTTCCAGTGGCTTGGAAGAAGGCACATATAATCATGTTGCACAAGAGCGGAAAGCCCCCTAATCAACTGGGATCCTATCGCCCCATCAGCCTCCTGCCTGCCTTTGGTAAGATTCTGGAAAGGTGCATCCTCAGAAGGGTCCTGGATACCCCGGAAATAAAACGCTTGATCCCGAAGTTCCAGTTTGGGTTTCGACTCAAACACGGTACCCCTGAGCAACTACATCGGGTCACAAATTATATTTTGGACGGCTTTCACAGGAAAGAGTATGTGGTGGCAGCATACCTTGACATCCAAGAAGCCTTCGACCGGGTGTGGCACGCAGGACTCCTCTCTAAGATAAAGGACAAATTGAATCCGCAGCTATTTAGCACCATTGCGAGCTTCCTAACTGAGAGAACCTTTCAAGTGGTGCAGGATGGAGTAGCCTCTCAAACCAAACGCATAAAAGCGGGCGTTCCACAAGGCAGCGTCTTGGGTCCCACGCTATATAGCCTGTTTACACATGACATGCCCACAGCAAATGCAAGCAGACGGAATGATCGGCAGGACCTTCTGGTGGCCACGTTTGCTGACGACACGGCAATCCTTGCAAAAAACAAATGTGTGTACGTGGCAACTGACCTCTTGCAGGAATACCTCAAGCGATTTGAAAACTGGGCTTGTAGATGGAACATCGCAGTGAACCCTGGAAAGTGCGCCACGGTTACCCACACTCTACGCAAGGACTCATGCCCCGGACTTTTTCTTCATGGTGAGCTTCTAGAGCAATATCGTCAACACAAGTACCTAGGTGTCACTCTCGACAGACGACTTACATTTAGTAAGCACGTCTCTGCAGTAACGAGCAACATCAAATCTAAGATAAGGCGAATGAGCTGGCTCCTCAACTCCAAAAACAAACTCTCGCTCCGAAACAAGGTCCTAATCTACAAGGTAATCCTTGCCCCAGTGTGGCGTTACGGGCTTCAAGTTTACGGTATAGCTGCAAAAACACACCTGAACAAAATTCGCATCATTCAGGCCAAAACCCTGCGCAAAATAACTGGAGCCGAATGGTATATTCGCACACGCGACATCGCCAAGGACCTCAAGGTTCCAATGGTGGGCGACATAGTCAACAGGCAAGCAGCGAGCTACTCAACAAAGCTCCACAACCATCCAAACATCCTGGCGAGGAGCCTGCTAAGGAGGCGAAGAAGAAGGCGACTGAAGAGGACCTACCCAACCGACCTAATCGATCGTTATGTATAGGTGACAAGCTTCGTTAATTACACCAAAATATGTTTCTGTAATCTGTTAACCTAATTGTATAACTAATTGTAAAACCACAATCATCGCTAAGCTAAGTAATTATGTCACTCTGATAAAAGTTGCTAACATAGAGTAACAGGATACCAGATTTCTTAATAAACAAAATATAAAAAATAAAAAAAAAAAAAAAAAAAAACATATTCTTTACGAAAAGCTATATACAAA